AACGAAATGCATGTCTCTGAAAGGTCTTCAGTTTGCGGGGAGCCTTGGATAAACCCTGTGATCAGGGTTGTTTAGTGGGTGGTTCCCTATGGGAGGTTGCCTTTGCCTGCTCTTGATGGGGACTCCCCTGCTCAGCGCCTGAGGGCCCCAGTCCTGCCACTCATCACCTGGCCCAGGGCGGGGCCTGATGGGAACTATAAAGGACTGCTATAAAGGACTGCTGCCACCACTGCTGCTGCTGGGCAGAGAGGGCTCTGTTTTGTTTAGTTTTTGTTTTTTGTTTAAATTTCTGTTATTTTTTACCGATGTCATTTTAAACTGTGATATTAATGCTGTATTCTTAGTTTTAGATTTTGATTTATGTGGAAATTGTTTCCCATTCGGTTGTGTATTTTTTGATGTGATTTATTTATTGTTTATGACTTTTGTAATTATGTAAATCTTGTCATGCTGTAAACCACCTTGAGCCTTGTTTTTTTAACTGTGGAAAGGCAGCTTACAAATAAATAATGATGATGATGGGGCTATACTCTCTATGACTGAGTGGGTACACAGCTTGGGGGTACTTCTGGCTCCTTTACTGAGGCTCAGTTGGCCTTGGGGCCACAGAGTGCCTTCCTTCAGCTTTGGCTGGTGGCCCAGCTGCACCCCTATCTGGACAGGGATAGCCTAACTTTTGTCACCTATGCTCTAGTAACCTCTATCTTAGATTGCTGCAACATGTTATATGTAGGGCTGCATCTGAAGACAGTTCTGAAACTTCAGCTGGTGCAGAATTCAGCAGCCACGTTGTTCATCAGGGCAAAATGGTTTAAGCATATTACACCAATCCTGGCCCGACTGCACTGGTTGCCAATTAGATTCAGGAACCATTTTGATTCTCAGCTATCACCCCTAAGTCTCCACCACTGTGGGGTGCTTGCCTCACAGCTCAGTGTTCTGCAACCCTGGGCCCTTAGACTTTGTTAGACAACAAGAGACCATTGGCTATGCTGGCTCAGGATGGTCACAGTTGCAATCCAACATCTGGGCAGCCAAGGTTGAAGAAGACTGGAAGTAGAGTGTGCATTGGAGGATCACTGGTTGGGTATGTGTGGGGGCCACATGATGAGGGACAGCCAATGGGGTGCCCTCCAGATGTTGTTGGACTCCAGCTCCTATAATGCCTGACCATTGGCCCATGGTAGCTGGGTCTGATAAGAGCTCAACAACATCTGGGGGACAGCTTACTACCCCTGCCTTAAGTTTCGTGTGGGAGGGGATGTGCCCACCTGTTCCTCTCCTGCATCAAAGGGCCAACAGCAGGGCAAGTCTTCAACCAGCCCCAAGTGACTCATTTCTGTGGTTGCTGGGCTATTGACAGAAGAGGGGGAACATCCCTGACCTTTTCTCTTTGGGAAAACACAGCTAATTGCCTGTGTTTCTCCATTCATTAGGAAAAGGTCCAAGACGCAACGAGATGAGAAAACATTTGCATGCTCTCCTCTGGGTGACATCTCTTCTTGTCCTCAGTGAAGGTCAAGGGCAACCAGGGTTGGCTTGGAGACAAGCTTTCAAGCTAACACATTCCTCCCCCTCCTCCCCCCAGGGTTTATTTATCCTTCTGGCTGCTGGCACTTTTAAGGATGTTATTCATCCAGTAGGACTTTTTATGTTCCCAGAAACATAAATCAGGAACCTTGTCACTTTTTTACGGCCACGACTAAATATTGCTACCTGGTAATGCAGCCTCTTAACAGCATTTAGAAGAGAGCCACGTCCTTCCTTTTGTAAGGGCTGTTGGCGCCTTGGCTGAGGTTGTTTTATGGAGGAGTTTAATAGAGGAGCCCAACATGAAGTCCTACTTAGAAAGGAGGGAGCTGCCACAGAGATTTACAAGCTAAAGGCTAGCTTCTACTGGCAGGGAGAGGTGGAAGACTCCACTCAGTTTACGCAGCGGAGGAGAGTTCTGGCAAAGCTATGTGTCTCATATCCACACTAACATACACACACTATCCCAATAAAAATGCTGCATGAAGAAAACAGGGATTCTCTGTAATGGATTAATTATGGAAATTTAGCATCTGTGAACCACTTATCATTGCAAGTTTTGGTCAAGCAAATTAAGGCCCTTGGCTTTCCTCACCTTTCTGGCAATCTCTATATCCTTGCTCATTACACATTACCTTCCTTGAACACCTGAGATGTGTTCACAGCACAGTTCTGTAGGCAAACAACATAGACACATCCATGCCTGTTTTGAAGAATGCCTGGAAAGCCGCAACACTTGTTAAGCAAAGTCCCCCTTGAACACTGATCTTTTGCAATGATACTTGATACCTGCAGTTATATATATACTTCTTTGATTAGAGGGTTGAATATCATCTTGATCTCCCCATGTCTGGTTTTAAGAGGAGGTGGAGAGATACATTGCAATACAATACCTGAAGCCAAATCAACTAGTCTTTGCGTTACTTTTTTTTCTAATTTTGCCTGTCATGGAGGAAGTATCGGCCTCATAAGGCAATGAAGGGACGCTCCAAACACTGGAAACAGCATCAGTTGCACTTCGGAGATTTCAGCAGGCATTGCTTACACACTTCTTAGCATATCTGTGCAACCACAGGACTAGAAACTTATGCGTCTTTTTGAGGAAGCAGAGAGCCTTGGGAAACATAATTCTGCCCAATTTGATATATTTGTTGAGGTGGAGATTCACTACGTCAGGGAGGCAAGTAACCCTTTTCAGCAGGAGGGTCATATTTCCTTGAGGGCAACCTTCCAGAGGTGGGTTAGGCAAAGCAGGTGGAGCAACAGATAGGACTGTTACCTTTGCATAGTAGGCTACATTCCAGATGAGCTAAATTCAAGAGATTTCTACAAACACACATATTTCTAAAGCAGTCCTTAGCATTCTTTATCAACAATCCATAAAGTGGACAAATATTATTCTCTCCATTTTGCAGACAGAGGTGGAACATGGACTGCGACTGAGAAAACAGCCCTAAGGTAGGTTAATGGCAGAGGTAAGATTTCAACTGGGATGTTCAAGCCACAAGGAGCTAGCAGACAGTGGGGGTTTTTTGTCACCTGGAAGCCCCAGTAATTTCACTTTTATTCTTTTTTAAACAAAAAAGGGGCTGTATCTAACTAGGTTCTACTCATGCCTAACTGTTGGTAGATATGTCCATTAATTTCAATGAGTTTACAGCAGGGGGGTCCTGATAGGGAACATCTTAGTGCTGCCAATCGCAGTTGGGCTCACTGTCAGCACCGGTCAGCGAGCCCTGCTTGCAAAACAGGAATTGGGAGCTCACCTGAAGCTACCCATTGTTTCTCTGGAGCCACACTCTTACCTATTCCACAAATGACATCACATATGACATCAGGTGTACGGCAGGTGGTTGTGGTTGAGAGAAAATGGCCTCATGGGTCAAATTGAGAGCCATGCCATGCCTGATTAGGCATGGAGGTCAGAGGTTCCCTTCCCCTGAACTACAGTTCCCATCGGCCCCAGCCAGCATAGCCAATGCTTAGGGATAACAGGAGTTATAGCCCAAACCCAGAGGGCATGAGGCTGGGGAGGCCTGCTGTCACTTATGCTTCAGGGAGAGTTTAAATCTGCATCCTTGACCCCTGTTTTCTATCTATGGTCAACTATAAAAATGTTTTTGGGGGGGTGGGTGGGTGGGTGGGTGGGTGAGGAAGGCCTTAGTTTTTAGATACCAGCCCCTGCCTGAGTGGATTTCATACCAAAAATCCACTTCAGTATTTTTATGCTAATATTTGGACATCCTCGACTCCTTTTTATCTTGTGCGCCAAGAGCCAAATTAAATGTTGCTATGGCAACCAATATAGCTGATCCTCATTATTAGTGTGTGTGTGTGTTTGGATAGTACCCAACAGGCTCGGCCTGTTTCAAAGCTTTGATATGCTGTTCAGAAGTGGGGCGGGCGGGCTGCCCTGAGATATAGATTTGCCTCAGCTGTGGCAATTCTGGCCCTTTAACCTGGCAGGATTCTTTTGCTAAGCCGTGTTCGGAGAATGCTCTCAGGAGAGTCGCCTGCTGGGTCTGAGTGCTGGGGAAAGTTCATCGCCTCAGCCTTAAAGAGGTAGCAAGTGCCTGGAGCCGCGGGAAGCGAGTAGGGCCTTCCTCAACAGCAAGCTGCTCAGGCTGAGGAAGGGATGCCGATCTTGGAGAGCCAGAAGCAGACACTCGCATGGGATTGGTCCTCTGTGAACACCTGACTCCCAGGAGCCATAGGCTCAGTCTCCTCCAAGTTGCATATCTCTCCTCCAAGCCAGGTGCCAAGGCAGGGGTAACCAACACAGAGCCTTCTAGATGTTTCTAGACTACAACTCTCATCACCCTTGACCACTGGCCACGCTGGCTGAGGCTGATGGGAAATGGAATCCACCAGCACCTGGAGAGCAGCACATTGGCTTTTCTCGGTGTAAGGAATAGGGGATTGGTGCGTGAGCTGCACAGTGGCCGACATCTTGCCAAATCTTGGTTTGAGCAGCAAAGCCTGCTCTAAAGCAACAAAGGACATGGGAGGGGGCTACCCAAGAAGTTGAACAGTGGCTTAGAAATAAGTGTCTGACAGCCTTGGGACAAATTTGGCAATGAAAGTCTGCTGAATGTGCTTTGGATCTGATAAAAACGCTACCGGCAGGAAGTTAATACAGCAGGGTATGCAGAGGCCCAATAATAAATCCACGAAATTTGATCTTCGTACTGATACAGATGAAGATGTTCCGGAGCTGTCAGACAAGGCCAAGGAACCTGTCATGGCTAGGGGCAGTTCTTTAGGGCCGAAAGGGCACAAAATTGACATGCCTAATTAATGAAGATGGGGACTCAGACCAGTATGTAGATAAAATCCTATTTCTGATCTTGGTGAGCCACATGTGGAGACTTTCCGCAACTGAAGAGTGTGGTAACGTGCTATAAATGAATAAATGGGTAGATGAAGAACCTGACAATCAGACAGGCAAACACAATGAGTCTTCTCCTTACCTGTTTCTCCCCATATTGGCAAGTACTCATCCTGCTGAATGTCCAGCATTATCTCCAGGCCATTGCCTGTCCCACCCTTGAATGTGGTCAACAGAGGATGCCCATCTTCTCCTGAGTTAAACATGTAGCACTTCCCATATTTCGTAAACACCTAAGAAAACACAGAGAGGAAGAAAGAGATTCAGTGACACTGTTGGTGGCCTATAGGTCCCAAAAAACCTGATTCTACAAAGAGCTGCCTCAGCAATTGATTTGCAGGGGAGGCACCTGTATAGCTCCCTTCCAACTCTACAATGACAGTGGTACCTTGGTTTTCGAATGGCTTGGCTTCCGAACAAATAGGCTCCCAAACGCTGCAAACCCAGAAGTGGGTGTTCCAGTTTGCAAATGTTTTTTGGAAGCCAAATGTCCAACATGGCTTCCGTGGCTTCTGACTCAATGCAGAAAGCTCCTGCAGCCAATCGGAAGCCACGCCTTGGTTTTCGAACGGTTCTGGGAGTCAAACGGACTCCCAGAACGGATTTAGCTTGACAACCAAGGTACTACCACTGTATATGAAAACTGGCTTTAGCCTTGAACAGGAGCACTCTGTGGGTGTGGGTGTGTTACACACAACAACATTTTATCGCAAGTCCCATTTGTGGAGTTTTTACATTCAAGACAGTTTTGCTACACAGTACAGGCATATCTCTGTATTTTTCCATCGCTGCTTATTTCTACCTTCTCCCAAATGTACCACCTCTTAAGCATTTCTAAAATCACACCTTCCGCTGGGGCTTCCACGTGTTATTTTCTTTTGTGGAAGGCACTTGACTGAGGTAAACTAATTACTCATGTGTTTCCTCAGCACCATTGTTTTGACAGATCCCTTGTGTTTCTGGCGAATCTGTGAACACCTCGGTTATTTCATGAGAAACATCTTTCAAAGTTTGGGGAGTTAGGCAGTGCTATTTTCCTAGAAAAAGAGGTGCCGGAATTCACCATAAATGGTGCCTACCTAAGAGGTTCCAGAATTGAGTTCTGGGTGAAATAAAGCCCTGGGGTTAGGGTTTCTAAAGGAGAGACAAAAAGCAGCAGCAGCAACCAGATCTCTCTACATGGAGGTGCCACTCATACTTGAGTAAAAGGGAGTCTGTCACATAGCACCCTAAAAGACCTCTGGAAGCAGAGAAATCCATCAAAGAAGGAGAGATATGATGTGGCAGCTGCTGCAAGGTGGGGGGGGGGGTTGAGCTGCTGTAGATACTCTCAGGTCTTTGACCCTGACCCTGCTTCCATCTCAAAAAGGACACACCAGAAACGTGGGAAGCGTCTCAAGCCTGGACGTCACATTTCCACCAGGCTATTGTTTACCTCCCAACAAACAAAACAGCGGCTTATGCTCCTGAACTCCAGAAGCATTCTCCATATCAACACATACGTAACTCTTAATATCCTTTTCAATTGCTGCCTCACCACTCTGCTGAGAAGAGAGTCTGGGGAAGAAGGGAAAGATTTCACAGCACAAAGGGTTGGGTCCTCCTTAATGAGGCTGTTTGCAATTTCCCTCAACCACTGAGACAAAAAAGGCTGTTTAACAAGCCTCCTGGCGTCTCTGGATCCACACTCCAACCAAGCCAAGCCAGAAAGATCCTCTTTGCACACTTTACGTAGCAATTGAGCCCTGCTGCAGCTGAAGCATTGTTTCCTGCAGTAAATGCATAAAGCGTGAAGGGTAGACTTGTGCCTAAACACTTGGGGAGGGGGGGAGAGAGATGCGCTGCAGAGCCCCAATTGGCCATGGCTCTTCGGCGCGTGTCCACTATGTGTTTAGCAACGCATGCCTGCCCTTCACGCACAAGTTGCACAAGTTTCCCTTGCAGATTTCTCTCTCAATCTGTTTCTTGTCTGTCAGGGCCATGTGTGTTCTGTGAGATTAAAAAGGAACACCTTCAAAGACCAAAATCCCGCACCAAATATGTTGGATTTTGCCAGTCTGCACTTAGTATGCAAATCAGGCACATCTGCATATTTTTCTTTCTTGGTTTGAAAACATGATTCTACGGTCCTTCACAGTAAACATAATTTATTCTGCTTCACCTAGTGACTAGGTGGGACTGTTAGGATTCTTGCTCCATGCTTGCAGTCATGGGATTGTTGTCTATCACATGACAGTGTATGTTTTCATTCCAAATAGTGGGAAGTGACAGAGACAGGGTGTTTGGTATTACTGTGTTTCCGTGATGTAGGACTATTGTCCTTTGTTCTTTCTCTTTGCTGTCCGATGAGAAAGAGGAAGGAGCTAAGTCAGAATGCTCCAAGTGTATTATATGTAAATAAACATAGTTTAGCCAAAATGCTGTGCTACTGAGTTCTGTTACACAAACTGCTAACACTCCGCAGGATCCTAAGTGTGCTAATGCCACTTGGTATCAGTCGCTGGGATGCTTTGGCTGGAGAAAGCTTTAGAAGCTCCCGACCGACCAGGAGGGAGAGAACATGCCAGTCAGGCATGTGTCTCTACCAGGGTCCTACACTTGAGTAGGACGAGCCTAACATGGACAAGGAGTTGTGGGGGGTAGGCACTGAAACTTTATCCCTTGGCCACTGAAATCTTGTTCAGCTTTAATGAGAGTATGGGTTTGGAATTGCACACATACCTTCAAGCACACACACACATATGTGCTTGAAAGCTGCTTAAATAAATAATGGCAGACAGAGAAAAGCTGAGATTCTCAAGAAGTCATATTTTATGGTTCCCTGCCTCTCATCCAAAAAGCTGCTGCTTTAGCAAAAAAATACGTAACATTATATTCTGATGTATGCTTGATCCAGGAAACCCCATAGATTCCTAGAGAACCCTTTCCAACTTGACTTATCCTACAGCTCTTATAAATCAGTCACAAGGTTTTTCTATATATTGCAGAAGATTCTGAGGTCACATACTGGGTTTTAGTCTCTGCTGGTCAGGCCTGTTGAACCTAAATTCTGCATTCCACAAACGGACAACAAGCCAGAACATACCCAACACCCCTGTCCCTCCCACCCCGTGGATGAACAAATGTGGAATTTGTCCCCCTATGAGGGGAATAGGGGTCTTTAAACAACTCTTAGCACCCTTAACAAATGATATTTCCCAGGATTCTTTGAGGGGAAGCCATTACTGTTTAAAGTGGTATCATAGCACTTTACAAGTTTGGTGGAGGTGGAGCCTGTTTTTGTATTATGAGACCACTTGTCGACATTTGCCCAATCCACATTTGTCTCCTATTCCCCTCATAGAGCTACAGTTACTTGAGTGGCTTAATTATCCATCCCTCTTCCCAGGGAACTCTGAGAAGTGAAGCTCTGTGAGGGGGATATGGGCTTAAGGACATCTTTTGTCACGGTCTTTGCTCAAAGACAATAAGGGGATTGAAGATGGCAATTACGAGCATCAGCACTGGATGCTGTGGTGGCACTGAGGATGCTTCCCTCCCTGAAGCGAAAGTGTTACCACAACTCCAGGCTGACATCTTGAGAAAAAAGCCCACCCCTGGTTTTCCTAACATAGGTTTAGTCTTCATTCTAGGCAATTAGCACTTTGGGGAAACATCCACGACTACAGCGATTTGTTTAATTTACAACCCCATGCATGTCTTAGCTGTTCAGAGCCTGACCGCTGGAATTTCTTCAACTGCTGCCTGAATATTAGCTCCGTATTTCTTTTTAAATACCCACTCAAGCAATGCTAAATTGTGCTGATGGTAGGAGAGGTGATTTAGCACACCTCTAAAGGGCCCTCTATAGCAATCAGCAGTCAAACAAAGCCTTCTGCTGATTTGCTGTTGTGGAAAGCAGCCCCTTGTTTTCCCAGACATCCCAAGTAGGTGAATGCAAGGCTCCTTGCTTTCCAGACATCCCTACAGACCGGATGGGGTGGAGGATGGAGGCTCAACCACTTCTGTTCAGGAACAACCTCACTCATTCTTTCTTTTCTATTCCCTCTCCATTCAGGGAAGAGGAAGTGTAAACATGCCCTGAAAGCACACATCCAGACCAAAAACTCCCTCTGAAGAAGTGGGTATGTAATTTGAAGGCACTTCTGGATTCTTTGCTGTCACTTGAGGCTCTGGTGGCCTCGGTGGCACAGAGTGCCTTCCATCAGCTTTGGCTGGTGTCCCAGCTGCGCCCCTATCTGGACAGGGATAGCCTAACGTCTGTCATCTGTGCTCTGGTAACATCTAGGTTAGATTACTGTAATGTGTTATATGTAGGGCTGTCTCTGAAGACGGTTCAGAAACTGCAGCTGGTGCAGAATTTGGTGACCAGGTTGCTCACCAGGGCACGATGGTTTGAGCATGTTACACGAATCCTGGCTTGACTGCACTGGCTGCTGATTAGTTTCCAGGCCTAATTCAAAGCATTGGTTTTGACTTATAAAGCCTTAAATGGCTCGGGACTACAGTACCTCAAGAACCACCTCTCCCCATATGAACCAACTCAGATCCTGCAATTATCATCTGAGGCCTTTCTTTGTGTGCCTCTTCCACAAGATGTCCAGAGGATGGCAATACAAGAACGGGCCTTTTCTGTGGTGGCTTCCTGTTTAGTGAATGCTCTCCCCAAGGAGGCTCACCTGCCTCCTTTATTATATATCTTTAGGTACCAGGCTTTGGCTGATTAAACATTGTATGTTTACATTGTATGTTAGGTAACATTGTATGTTAGGTAACCAGAGCTTTGGCTGATTAAACATTGTATGGCATTTTAACTGTATTTGTGGGAGGCAGGTGATTGGTTTGTTCTTGTTCTTGTTTGTCTATGTATTTTGTGTTTTCTCGTTTGGTACTGCCCTGTGATCTTCAAATGAAGGCCAGCATACTTACTTACTAGATAAGATAAGATAGATAAGATAAAATAAGATAAGACGTCCCCCCCCTTTCAAATCCAGATGTTTGGCCGGTGATTATGATTACTCAGAGAGGAAGAAAATGCACTCTGAATTATTTTTTATTTATTAAAATTTATATGACTCTTGTCTTTTGGGTAAAAAAGCCTCCTTTCTCTCTTCGCCACAAATGGCTAGGCAGAAGGTGGAACATGGCAACAGACTGGTGGCCCCAACTATTCAAGAAGCAGTCGGGGGGGGGGGACTGTTTCCTTCTGCTCCAGAAAACCACTGGAGAGCTG